AATTCGCCAGGACGAGTTATTTACTTGTTGAAAATTTGGGCTGTCAGGTTCCTCCTTACTCTTTTATCTCGCACGTATGCAGATGCAGACCTCTCTGATTGGCAGCGTCGAGCGTCTGCCGTTGACAGCGACTGGCGCCCCTCTAGTCATCCGCGGCAAGGACTTCCGCGTGGCTTGTTTCCTCGTTAGTCGTGACCGTGACTGTCAGGATGTGTACGAGACCCTCCTTCGGCTGACTCAGACCGGTAAGTATTGATAAAGTGGCGCACCAACCCCAGTAATATTTTATCCGCTTGCGCCTTGTTCTACTTATTTCCCTCAAAAAGTAGCAGTATTGTGTTTGTCGCTTGTTCGCTCCTCTTGGGTGCTTGTATTTACTAAGTCCGGACAACGCTTAATCTCTCTGCCCTCTGCACTATCTCGTGTAGTGCCTCTACGGATATGACAATTTACGAAAACAGATTTTGCGTCTAATCTGTCTCCTCATATCACTGAAGACCAAGTTTGGAGCTACAATATCCCCCCAGCATTCCTGCAGACCCATAGAATCAGTTTTTAAGCTAACCTAACCGCCGCCTCCAGTAAGGCCGCAGCTTTGGAATAATAGCAAAAACACTGCGTTCGTGGGGCTAGTCAAGCAAATCGTGCCTGAACCGCCTGAGCCACCTTTCTCTGATTTTCTGGCATATCCTCCGGACGTCGCCAAATTCACTACGGACTGTCTTATCTGAAACAAAGTTTGTGTACTTCATTCGGGCAACGATGAACACAACTTTACAGTTTTCGTATGTCTACTAGGTCTACAATTCAGCATTCGTAGTTGTAGATGTAGAATATATTCGACCGCTAACCGGGAGATCATGCGAGTAATTCCACTAGAATCCTGTTTGCCTAGCTGTTTCAGACCTGTTTAAATCTGTTTGCTTGGGTTAGGTAACCTTGTGTCTTTTCACTTGGTGAAAAAGGGGACAATAATCGATTTAGTTAAGAACACCTTTCTGTAATGTAAGAGGATTAGCAAAATATAGATAGTACATTTACAACTAAATGCCTCCAAGCCTACAATAAATGAGATAGCACCCATTTACGTGGGGACAAGATGGGAGCTTCAGATAAATAGTAGGAGGGTTAGGGAAAACAAAAAAGACGTAGTTACCCGAAAAATTTACTTGACTATAACATAAACGGTGGATTGTGGATGAATCGAAAAATGTCATATGAAGGGTTTTACTCTTAATGCCAAATGAAGCAAAGTGTAGTGTTGTTAGTAAGCAAACAGTTACGTTCCTTTCAAGTGGGTGATAGTGGGATAACAAGAAAAAATACAATAGGAAATAACTGACTGGATAGATGTCCACTACATGCGAATATTTGAGCCACGTTCTTTGACCCCTGACTGCCTTAACAGCTCATCTTCGAACTCTTAAAGAGGTTGTCATAATGTTGTATCCAGAGTCCTTCAGACTCGAATCAAATCTTCCAGCTGTTATCCCACAAATGCTCGGAAGACTTTAAAGAAACATTCTCTGCCAAAAGCGGCTTACATAGCTAATCGAAGCGGAATTCTGAGCTGCCTTGCAAGTGTGCGTAGAGGACTTTGACGCACTCGGGATCTAAACTCCGAGATCGTTTTGGCTTTCCGTTTGCTGAAGTAAAATCCGGTTCATATAGTAAGTGCGTTTATCAGAGATCTAGTTTAGATTTTGAAGATATAATGCGATAGCTCATTTCGCTTCATCAGCAACACTATAAACGATTTTCCGAATTTTGATATAATGTGCAAACACGATGTCCATCGTATGTTCTACAGCAGGGCAGTGCAGGGACGGTGACTCGTCCGTGAATTAGTTTTGAGTGATAGTAGACTTGCGCAGCATATACCGCACTCTCTCTTTCCTCACTTGTCTCTGTTCGGCGTCAAAACAAAGTCAAGAAGACC